ACCATCTGTTTTGTGGTGTATCCTCCTGCCTTTTTGGCGGCTGTATCTGCAGCATCATTTCCTTCTGCGATGCTGGAGTTAAGTTTCTGATGTCCCTTACACTTCATCACTGCCACAGCAGCAGGCAGATACACTGCATTCATCAGCTTCTCAAGTTGTGCTCAGTGTTTTACAGGAGTGTTGGCAGTGGTCAAAACATTCCTTCTGATCCATTGTGGCCCATCTGCATGTATTGCTCCGTGCCCATAGGCCGAGTCTGTGTGGATGTTCACTCTCTTTCCTTCTGCTAGTTCCAATGCTTTTGTCAATGCAATGATCTCTGCTTGCTGGGCTGAAGCTGGTTGGGGGATGATTCCTTGGTCTCTTGTGATGCATGTCTTTGTAGCTGGGTTTTGAGCTGCTAGATATCTTGTGCATCCTGCTTGTCCTGTTTCCACGCTGTCAAGTTTTGAACTGTGGTACATCAGTACCCTCCTTTCTCCCTCGCAATTATTGTAAGAGGCGCAATTATTGTAAACGAATTTATCAGGATTTACTCATGCCCAGGCGCAATTATTGTAAATCAATTTATCAGGATTTACTCATGCCCATGCACAATTATTGTAAATAAATCATAATTTATACTCTCTTACATCTCAGTTACACTTTCGCGAGTTTCTGCATCTATTACTTTTACTTGCTCATGCCCAGGCGCAATTATTGCAAGCCTGATCAGAGTTTAATTTTGATCCGTTAATGACTTTTTAAATAAAATATTATTTCAATAATTTTTACAAAGTATTTGTCCTGAAACTTCCTTACCTCTCTCCCACCCACTTAATTTAGATTTTCCAATATGCAGAACTTTGGATAAAATCAACAGGCGTCTGCTTACCTTTTTCAAAGTAGACCGGTCTGTGGGTGGCAGGAGATTCAGAGTACAGGCTGGCGCAGCTGGAAATCTCCGGTCCTGAGCCGTTAGTGATCCAATTGTAATTCAATTCATTCCTCTCTCCTCTCTTCTCAAAATCACGTCGGGGTCACCAAAATTTGTCGAACGTGTTCTCTTATATTGAAAAGAAAAGACTAATATAAAGATATTTCACAGTGTGAAATTTATTATGCATTAACGTATCAAAATAAACATGTGCACATGGATCTTGACTGTTTAGGAAAAACAGAAAAGACTAACTTCAACTTCGCGGT